TCTGAGAATGAATCCTCCTTTATGGAGAGCAGCCACATATGCATGTAGAAAGACCTATGCACACATGATTGGATCAAGATACTTCCTTTCTGAGCAGGGGCAACCAGAAGAAGGACAACAAAAAGAAAGCCATGACCTTGCTTGGGAATGGATGTTCTGGAGACTGGTCCTGCATGCTTGGGAGAGAAAAAAAGAGGAGAGAGAAGTGAAAATGTGTAAATCTCTTTACAGTTTGTTCCTCACACCCAGCTTTGGTCTCATTGGACAGAATCTGTCCCTGACTATCTCCTTCCTACTTCAGGATCAGGTGGTGGGATAAGGGGTGGAGGAAGGGCAGAGAAGGAGAGAAGGGAGGAAGGAAGAGAGAGGAAGAAGAGGAGGGGGACAGACGGCTCCCTTCCATGATCTTCCTCAGAAGTGAAGTTGGGATTCTGTGTTTAACCTCAGGAGGAAGAGAGCCAGCCTCTTCTCCTCAACCCTCCTCTTCTGTCTCCAGCCTTCCACAGGTTGTTGCAGAACCAGCCAAAGAGGAGAATGGGATTGAGGGAAATCTGGTGAAAATTAAGAACAAAAGCAGCCTCGAGGCGACTTCCTGAGATGGGAGAGATGGGAGCGAAGGAGTATGAAGAATGGACTTGATTTGACTCAGTTTTGCCGAGAGGAACAACTTCTCCCTGATACTTTTCCCATCCCTGAAAATGCTCTAAATGAGGCAATCTGCTCCTTTTGGAGGACTTTAATTGGCCCTAAATTCTTGAACTATACCTGAGATCACCCTTCTATTTGTGAAAAATGATGGCTTTGACTATAATAAAGATGCCATGGGAATTTTTACAAATAGTTTTGAAGGCCATATAAAGATAATGCATCCCAAAATTCCAACAAGAAGATAAAAAATCTGGAAGCCAGAGGTCCAGCTCTCCTTGAGTACGATTGAATTTGGAGCTAAAATGATCCCCTTAATTATAGTTTTACCAAAAGAAGTAGCTTATGAATTCAGTAGTGTCTTTGCATGATAGAACTGCAGTCCAGAGCATTAGTTTGTAAGCAGACTAGGTGCAAATACCAGCCTTGGAGCAGAAATCTCCATGGAGTCTTTCTAAATGTGGAACTACAAAAAAAAAAAAAAAAAAAAAAAAACCAAAAAAAAAAAAAAACCAAAAAACAAACAAACAACAACAACAACAACAAAAAAAATCAAAACAAAACAACGTAAGACTATGGAGTTACCTTAAAAAGCTAAGGTATTTCAAATATCATAGCTTGAATTCAAAGGTGGCTTATTTGTACAAAATTTAAGAACAGAGGATGGAGAAAATTCACATACAAAACAGCAATCTACACTTCCTTTTTAGGGATAAACTATGAATAGTTTGTACATTAAAGCTCAGAAGAACGCAAACCTCTTAATTTAAAGTATAGTAGCTCTCTGTGATGCAAGCCAGTTTTGCAACATTAAATCCATTCTGAGTAGAAGATTGAAGCCAAAGCAATCCTCCCTGCACAACAACTATTTTTAAGCAGAATCAAGCAATCCACTAGCTGCCCGGCCCTAAATCAATATGACTAATTTATCAAATCTTCATAAATGAGTCATGAAGGGTATCATAATGACCTTGGTATTTGCATCTGTGTACAATTTACCCTACCTTAATTTTTACATCACTGCATAAGCATATTCCAAATTCCTGGGGGAAGGGGAATTGCTAGTCACTGCCTGTTAACATGCAATTCCCTTCTATAAAAAGGTATCAACAATAGCAAAGTAATAGATCATTCAAGTGTTGACTTCTACCATCTCAGTTTTATGGCTTAGTTCTCAATGGCTGTTGGCTAAGGTTCATTATTTAGGAAACATTAACAAGTCAGAGATTCTAATGGGAGGCTGTCATCTCAAGAACAGCTACCAATGTGAAAAATCGTGCCTTGATACATTCCTATATCCTGAAGCCTCTTGGTTATTGTTTTTAAAGCTCTTTTAGTTAGCCTCAAGGATCCTAATGAAGATATTTATTAAGTAAAGGGCCTAAGAAGTGGGAGCACAAAATTAACACGAGGAACAATCAGTGTATTTGTTTGTAGTTGATGGACATTGTCAATTCCCTAATAATGAAAGCTTCATAACGCTTGCTTTTCCCCCTGTAAAAGAAAGCAACATGTGTTAATGTGCACATAGATCAAAAAAAGAGACATTTTAAACCTAACATTTGTTTTGTGTTTCCTTTAGATGCATTTAATAGTTCTAAGCAGAGGTATTTTTCTTTGAATTTTAAACATGTGTCTATGAATGCTCCTAAGAATTTTGGTTGTATAAAATAGATGTGTTTTATGATTAAAACGAAAATAACTAAGTTGCAAAAAAAAAAAAAAAAAAATCCCAAGACCCAGGATTTAGCTCAGTGACGTAAACGCCTGCCTAGCAAGTGCGAAGTGGTGAGTTCAAACCCTGGTACCAAAATCAAAAACCAAAAAAACCTAAATTGTGTTCTAGTTTTGCCTGATGAACCCTTGAATAAATGTATTGTCAGTGGTCTATAACTTGCTCATTTTTCTGAACTCAGCAATTGGTCCAACCAAAGTGAATTTTTAACCAAAGCTGACAATCTTTTACAAATCTTTTTCATCTGGCAAAGGAGGGAGTAAGGAATAGTTGCTTTTTTGTCCTGTCTCCTCTTTCTGGGTGATCTTGGCTCCAGATGAGCAATTTGTGTACATTACACTTAACACCCAAGCCACAAAAATACACTTAAACCACTGAATATGAAGTAATCTGTTCTATTTAAAAGTCTTGACCTTTTGGGCAAGTAAGACTTAAGGGGCCAAATTTTCTTGTTACTGAAGAAAATTGCTAAGTGAGTTACCCAGGAGGCAACAGGTAGGTGGATTCTGTGCCAGTTAGAAAGTGTTATGATTGGCACACCCCCGTGAAACTCAAACGTCGCAGTTTAATGGAAACGCTGGCTGTCATCCCCAAAGTACATTTCAAGGAATCACAAAATTTTAGAATTAGAAGTAAGTGAATGGAAATTTTCATCAGTATGGAACTCAGAAGATTAGGTGGTAATGCAAGGACTTTTGCAGGTGTCGCAGAGTGCCTTCCATCATGGCCTTTTTCAGGCTCTGACAGGCAGGTCAGAGTGTGGCATACTGGAGAAGCTCTGTGCCCAGGTCCTGGATGGGGCAAAGCTCACAGGGACAGGCATGGGGAACCCAGACATTTGGAGCCCACTAGACTCCACATCAGATCACATTGCTGAGATTCAGCAAGCAAACTTATCTCCAATCTTGTGGGGGGAAAAAAAAACCCAACCAACCAAACAAAAACCATCCAACCATTCGTAGGGGGTGGGTGAAGCAAACATATTTTTGGGTTCTGGGTGCTTCTGGAACTCTTTCCCGAATGTTTGGGGTTTGGCCTTGCAGTACACACCGTGCCCCAGGCCACTCTTCCCTCAATTTTTAGGACCAAGTGTATTTTCAGATAAATTGATCCCACATGCTTCTGATCCACTTATACTAAAATCATCAGAGCATATTTTGGAAGAGTAATCTGAGGTCCAAGAATCCCTCTGAGCCCTGCTTTTATGAAACCTCTCTTTGACTTTTTTGTTAGAAGCAGGAAGCCATATGTGGATATTAGCAAATAAAATGTAAGCCTGAGGGACTTGGATCTGTTTTCAAATGTGGCACCTCAGAAACCAGTGGGTCCTCAAACTACCAAGACAAAGCTTCTGGGCCTTCTTTTTCAGAAGCAAAAGGAAAGCAGCCCTCTGTACTGGGTGAAGCCTGAGTCAGTGGTTCTGGCTGGTGATCCATGCAGAGTTCACAAAAGCCTCAGCATTTCTAACTTCACCTCCATTCCTGACACCTAAGCCCCATCGCACAGCTTGCCCAGCTTGTGGGCATCTCTTAGCCTTTGCTCAGCAGAGAGCCCAGCTAAAAATGTGTTTCAAGTCTGCACACCACTGATGATATTATTAACATTATGTATACCTGGCAGAGTGTGCACCATTGCCTGTTTTGCACGTCGAGTATTCATTAGAGAAAAGAAAAATCAAGCAGACCCCACAGTGAAGTTTGATGTGTGATGTGGGAGTAAGAAATTGTCTCTAGGCAAGGAAGACCTAATGAACTTGAATGATTAAAGACCCACGAATTGCCTATCACCTTGCATTCTAGAGTACAGCCATGGCATCACAAGGTTTTAATAAAAAAACCTCTACAGGTGGAACAGAACCATCCACAGATGGAGCCAGTAGAGTCAGTCTCAGCTGTGGAGGACATTTTCAGGGGCCTCTAGTCCATTCCCAGGAAGAGTCATGAAGACAGTTGTTTTCCAACCTGTGCCTCGTCAACAAAGCGTGTTGTCCCTGCCAGGGTGTCAAGAAGGAAATCGAGACCCTAATGCAGAAAAGGAATGCCCAGCTCTAAAATGAATAGCAAAGCTGTCAAGGGCATAGTGACCAGAGCTTTGGCTACCTTTGCCTACTTCTCAAGGAGCTCTAACAGTGCATTCTCAACTCCAGTTTTTTATTGGTTTTTAGAAATTCCAATGTCCAGGCCCTAACAAAGACCTATGACCATGGAGCAAGGGGTGAATCCTAGAGAACTAGCACTTTCTTCAAAATTTTACCAGTTATCCTTTTTTGCAGTCAGGTTTGAGGGCCACAAGTTAAAAGGGACTTGAATACTTTCTTTCCCGGGAGAACACACACACACACACACACACACACACACACACACACACGTCCACATAAGAGTAATTGGTAGTGTTCTAGTTGTATAAAATAGGACTCAGGGTTGATGCTCCCCCCTACTGTCTCCACCACTCCCACTTCACTGACCTCCCCATCTTCTATTGATTTGTTCCAGACATGGAGAATGAACCAGCTCTCTGGAGACTTTTCCAGGCTGAATGCACAATAAACGGTTTAAACAGGACTAACCCAGCCCCACGTGCTGAATCATCTATGGAGTCAAAATGAACCAAACAAAAGATCTCTCTCTTCAAATATTTAATCAGTTTGGAGACTTCTGCCTTCCAACCAGTTGGGTAAAAATTCACAAGAAAGCATGATTAAGGGGTCCTCAAAGACAAAACACAACACAACACTGAGCTAAAATGGAGAAGAGGCTGGGTTTGAGAAGACAGAACATAACATGCATCTAAAGGCCTTTTGAAGGAATTTAACCACTTACTTAAAAAATATACTCAAAATGAGCAGAAGTGATTAAACAGTTATATAAATTTAAGGGCAAGTAAAACTTTTATGGCTGAAAATACCAGACGTGGTTTGGAAATAGATTCTTTAAAACCCTTAGATCCTTGCTGTGGTTTGTTTCCATAGCCTTCTCGGTACACGCAAGAAGCAAACTAGCTATACCCAGCATTCCCATGGAGCTCTTGAGGCCTTTGCAAAGCAGCAACACAGCGAGAGACAGAGAAAGGAGTGCAGGAGGTGAGAGCAAGCTTCTCTCAGTCTTTGAACATAGACTCATACCCCAGCAAAGTGAATCTATTTTCTTTGAAAAAGATGGAAATAAACTGAAGGCCTTGAAGAATCGCCAGCATCAGGAGGCCAGTGATGATAACTGCATTTTTGATAACTGCGTCTTAGGAACCGGGGATGGGTGTCCTTCAGAGCAACAGGTCTGCATAGTACAGCGTGAGTCAGGACACCTGCGGCTGACTCCTCAGGGAATCGTTCAGCAGGAAAGCACAACCTCTGTCTCGCTGTCATTCTTTCTCATATTTCTTCTCTTGTCCTGTCCCTTGGTGCTTGGGAGAGGCAGTGTCCAAGGCTACAGCCCGAGGCTCAGAATGGGTACTGTGACACATATATCCGCAGTCGAATCACAGAGCTGCCTCTGAAGTTGATGACCGTGTTGACAGTGATCATCTCCAAGTCTAATTGGATGTCCCGAGGCCCTTTGATGGGACGTGTCATCACCAGGGTAGCGCTGATGGGACCTGTTTGCTGTGGACAGAACCAGGGGACACTAGTTAGAGAAGATGTGATGGAAGTGAAAGACTTGGTTGGTGGCTCTGCACCTGAACCAGGGTGCTCACCCTTGTCCACTTCAGTTACCCTGTATCAGTATCAGAGATATTTCAGTATCTCCACAGGGTCATCCTCCTTCCCTGGCTTTGCCCACTCTGCACCTGCGTCTTTCCTAATCCTTCAGGTCCCATCTGAAAAGATGCTCTTATGGTGACCTTCTCTGATTCCCCCATCTCTGTTGGGTCTTGGCACAGGACAGAAAGTATTTATTACTCTGCATAATTGTGTACGCTAACTCTTTGGTACATGTCTGATGTCTAAGTTCTTGTTGGATGAGAAGAATTCCTTTAGAAGCCAGGATGGTGTCTTGAACACAGTAAGTGTTAGAAAGTAGTCATCCCTTCATATCCATGGGCTCTGCATCCTTGGGTTCTACCAATCATGAATCAAAAATCATGAGAGGAAAAAACTACATCTGTACTGATAATGAGAGACTTTTCTTATGTTTTTATTATCTAAATAATACAGTATAACAACTACTTACATAGAATTTATGTTATATTATATATTACAGGTGATCCAGGGATGATTTAAACTATATAGGAGGATGCATATAAGTTATATGCAAATACCATGACATTTTAATAAAGATGTGGAACAGCAGCAGATTTTGGGGGTCCTGAAAACAATCCCTTGAAGAAACAAACAGGAAATTGTAAATATTGAATGAACAAACAAATGTTTGGTCAAATTTGCTGCTTGAGATGAGGTCATCCCCTCTCTGGGGTTCCTCTCTACACTTGATCTGAGCCAAAAGGCCAAGAAGTGATTGAGCTTCATCTCTAAAATGAGGTTTTGGATTTTCAAACAAATGGTATCAAAAACACCTGGGGTAATTTTTTTTTAAATAACAACAATTTCAGGGGCCCATTTCAAGATTTGTGTAATCAATTATACTTTTAGATAGTTCCTGGGAAAAGTGATATTTATTAGGAGACCAAGCCCGCCAACACTGTAGTTACCTCCAGCTTCACCATTCCTTGATATTATCACTGAGATACTAATAATTTCATGTGAACTTTTCTCCTCCATGGATTGTCTTTCTAGCATTTTCAAGGCGGCAAGGAAAGAACAATGACACCAACTGAACACCCAGCACGTCCGAGCCACTTTTCCCGCCATTTTTATACATGTCCACTTATTTCATCCTTATAAAAACCCTAAAAGACCTGTCTACTCAAAATATGATCCCTAGACTAGCTTCATTATCACCGAGTAGCTTGTTAGAAATGCAAAATCTTGGGCCTCACCTAAGATCTACTGAGCCAGAATCTGTAACTTAATCTGGGGACTCACAGTCCCCAGCTGATCCATGCGCACAGTAACAATTAAAAAGTGCTAATCTAAAATGACAGGACCACACCAGAGGACACCAGTTGCCCTTGTCTTAGGGTTGTCCTAAAGGTATATATCATTATTTTTCCATTTTATAAATAATCAAGTCTAGCAAAGTTAACTAATTCCTTAAGGTCACCCAGATAGTCAAGGGCAGAACTAAGAAGCTTCCGTTCAGGATTCTCTGTCTAATTCCAAGCCCCAGCCCATTTTCACTATAAAACTATCAGAAGATACTGTACACTCTACTATTTTATCCGTAATATTATAATACATGAGAGATGCTCTGGGTTGATTCAGTAGAGAGACACATAGTATCTGCAGAGGAAATAGTGTGGGAGGAAGAGGGATGGGCTGGACAGTCACTTCCCAGAAGCTGAAGAACACAGCCCTGTGCCCAGAAAAGGAAAGCAATAATCTCCACTAAATCAAGGAACTTGGCTTGTATAAAGCCACACCAGGCATTTATTCTGTCTGCCTAAAGGGAGGGCTCTCCATAAAGATCTGAACATGTTCCATAGGTTGCCACAAATATAACAAGGGCAGGGAGGCAGACAAGTGCAGGCCAGGTACTGAAACCTCACTGTCTGTTAGGCTGTCAGCAGTCTAACAGCCACAATTTCCTCTCGGCATTGGCTTTGTGTACTCCAGTCAGCACCCACGTAATTGTCACCCACTCATGAAGAGGATCTTTTGGACTTCCTTGTCAGTCATTGCAAAACGCCAGAACCCTGGGCCAGGACTTCAGCAGGTATAGTCACACAGGGAAATGCCAATGGCTCTGACATATATAAACATTTCACCAGCTTTTACTGTTTGCAGGAACACAGGCTTAGGGTTCAGGACCTTGAGCTGTGGGCAGCCCTCTGGAGAGCCATTTACAGAGCCAACTCTCTGAAAGAGGGTAATGGAGGAAGCAGAAACTTCCAAGGTATTCTTCTGGGACTTTCTGATAAACATGTACAGAATAGGTTTGCATTCAGAAGTGACCTTATTGGTTAGTGAGTCCAGTCCCTGTTTCAGTCTCACCCAGTTGGGGCATCCTAAGAAAAGCTTTCCCACAAGTGCCTGGAAGGGCTCAAGTGTCTTCCAGGACCACTGAGGACAGCCACTTCCCACCATTTTCAGCTTCTAGGGTAGAACCTGGGAATGAGTGAAATACTGTCTTTCTCAAGAGCCACTGGTCTTGGTGGTCAGTGGTTCAAACTGGTGACAATGATAAGCTGCCAGCCATTTGCTACAATGTTCCATACATTTCTTATTTAATCCTCATAAGTTTATGCTGTAAGTAGGTTAAGAATACTACATAAGATCACAATGCTAGCACATGGCTCTAGAGTATCTGACTCCAAATGTCATGTTGCTAATCATTCTGTTCTAGGTAAGAACTTGATACCACTCCAAGTCCTCAAATTTCCTTCCATTCCACAGCACTTACCTGACTTGAGAATTGCCACTTGGCGTTGTGTGTGTTAGCTAGATCTCATCCCATCTGCTATAGTGCGTGATTAGGCTCCTCAAGGGCAGAAGCCACAAATCTGTTTTCAAATTCTCAATGCCTGACTCACATGTGCAAGGACAGTGGTACTGGATAAACAATGGCGATGGAAACCTGCACATGAATGAATGAACGCTTATGGAGTTGGTTGAAACAGGAAAAAACTGCTAAGAGCCCACCAAGCATAGCTTCTCGGCCCTGCTTTACATGCTTTAAGGTTTTCTTGGAGTCAGCTTATGTGATGGCATTGTCCAAGCAGGCCAGATGCAGCAAGGTAATTTCCTTTAGCCATGTAACCTGATCCATGCGTGCCATGGAAGAAACACTCCTTGCTAAAGTCTAAATCCTGTGAGCATGTTCCTTCTTTTAACCCTAATTGTGCCATTAACCCTTCACCTGTGAAAGGTAATTCCTAGTCCTCAGTCCAGAACTCAGTGTAAGAGAGACTGCCAACAGGCCTTGTGAAGGGATATGCATGAGGACATCAGGAGTTCACAAGCTTCTAACAACAGTCGTAAAGGCAGCAGCAGTGGCAACAACAGTATCTACACAATACTCATATTTCTTGAATTGTTACTGGGTGTTAAAGTAGACTTCTGGTCATCTAAACTGCTCAGACACCAAAGTTGAAAAAGTAGATTAAAAAAAATCCCACATTTGGAAGAGTGATATAAAGGCTTTGTGTATGGGTGCAACAATGCCCCTGTGCTTCTGCTGTCAAAAGTCTGTGTGGGTCACAGAAAGAGGGGCAAAAGACTTGAGGTGTCAGGTGTTCAACTCATGACCCTATTACTCACATCAGGGACCGATCAGGGTGATGCCCTAAGGAAAATTCCCAAAAAAACCTACAAGGCCATCTTATGGAAGGAAGAGCATCTGGGTATCTTTCCCAGACAGGACACCAACACTTGGTTACTGGGGCAACAATCTAGTAAGATCCTGGCCCTCCCAATCTTGCCCCTTCCACCACTTGTATCCCCACCATTCTGGAGGAACTAAAAGCATCTCTGTCCTTGCTGGAAGAAGAGGCAGCTTGTTCAGAGGCCAATCACAAGTATCTCTGCTCTGACACAGGGACAGGCTGAAATGTCACACTGAATGAGAAACTCAGAGGTTGAAGCTCCATTTAAACCTTTGGTGAGAAGGTAGGGACCTTTAGTGAGAAAGAATGAGACAGCTCAACAGTGAGTGAATATACTTTGACGCAACCTGAGATGTCACCGGAGTGTGTGCCAGCAACCAGAGACAGGGGGAAGTTCTTGACTATTTCACTACTGCCAAAGCTCAGTTGTTTGACAAAAAGTCATTCTGTATTCCAGGCACTGTGCTAAGTGGATGATCTCATCTAATCCCAAGGTAAATACTGCTATGGTGTCTTCTGAACAGATAGGAGATTGAAGATCTGCGAGGTTAGATAACCATGGTTAGGATAAACTGAAGAACCAGAGGTGAGTCAGGCTCCACGGCCCATATTAAACATCTGTGAGAGGCCTGCTGGGAGGGTCCTGCAGCTCTGGACAGCCTGGACATGAGAAAGGCCGGGCATATCTGGATGGTTTCTCTGCTCCCACATCCAGTGACTTCCTACAGTCCTACTGCAAGTTTTTTTTTCTCTTCTCAGGTATAGCCTGGGAACTTTTGGGCCAGAGGCCACCTTCTCACCCTTGAGTTTAACCATTTTCATGGCAGGCCTATGTCCCTTTGTACCTTCCATGTTTTCTAAATAAATACTAAAGCATTAGAATTCTCGAGCTGAGCACAGAGCCTCTCTCAAGTCAGCCACCACAGGGACTATTATGGTAACAGTCCTGGGGCATTTTAGTGGCTCTTGTCCAGGTAAGTGACATGTTATCTAGATGCCCCTCTCTGTAGATCTCCTGCCCTGCTCAGGGTTGAGGGAACTTCAGGCAGGAGATATCTATGATGATTTTTTTAAATCCCCAAGAGAGCTGTCTTTCTATCCTATGACTGGGACCCACTGAGTCTAAGCCTTGGGAGGCTAAGCGGGCAGCCAGCCCATAGAGGCTTGGCAGGCATGGGTTTCTGCAGGATGGCCAATGCTAATGGTGCTCAGAAATGGATGGATGGACACACAGCATGGTCTTCTTCATCTTTGAGAAGCTCCTCTATCCATCACTCAATCTAACTTTCACCAAAGTCCTTGAACCTGAATGCAGTATTTTGATCTACAGAGCCAAGTCTGTACTGGCTCTATAGATCATGTAATTATACGTGATGACCCGGTTGTTTTAGCTTCTTAACAAAAATACATTAGTGAGGATGTACTTGGCCCTTTCTAAAGGCACTTGGCCTTTTCTAAAATGTTCTTTTTGCTACTTTTGACACTTCCAAGTCCCAGAGCCAAGGACTGAAAAATTCTGTCATGGGATGGAAAGAGAGGGACTAGAGCTCAGATGTGTTCTTTCATAGGCTGTTGGTACAGGCTCTGGTGCAAGTGGGTAACTTCTGTGGGCTTACCCTTCTTCTGAGTGTAGCTTACCATGGAAAATCATGTATAGTATATGCAAGAAGTGAAGGCTCTTCGCCCCTCAAAGATATTCAGGCTGCAGTTCTTAGAACATGTAAATGTTATCTTAAAAGGGAAAAATTTATAGATATGATTAAGGATCTAGACATAGGGAGAGTGTGGATGGGTCCTAAGTCTAATCACAAGGGTCCTTAGAAGAAGGTGGTAGATGGAAATTTGGCATGCACAGAAGAGCAAAAGATGATGTGATCACAGAGGCGGAGACTGGAGTCATGAGGCTACAGTCAGGAAATGCTGGTAGTCATCAGAAGCCAGAAGGGGTAAGGAAAGTATCCTCCCCTAGAGGCTCTGGAGGGAGAGAGCCCTGCCAACACCTTGATTTAAGCCCAGTAAAGCCAACATTAGACATTTGACTCTGAAACTCTAAGAATTTTCTGTTGTTTTAAGCCACTAAGTTTGTGGTGATTTGTTGCAGGAGCCACAGAAAACAAATACATTTGTCCTTTCTCTCCATTTTTTGAAACAGGCCCCCTGGAGAGGGAGCTCTGGAACCTGCTTTTTGGAAAGTGCCTGAATTCACCTGGAAAAGTAAGAAAAATTGCTCTCAGCCAGTGGTCTCTTAAGAGGCCTAATTGCTCCAGGGGTTATGGGAGAGGATCATCATAATATATGTAGCATGGTATTACATGCATGCATATTTTAAAAAGATACATTTTAGGCTATGTACTCTGAAACACGCCCTGCCCACCACTGGTATAGATAAATCATTGCTACCCAAACTTTCTCTGGCTGAAAGTCAGAAAGAGCTATCTAATGCAGAAGTTACCTGATATGGTAGCCAGCCATATTTGACTTTGAGACACTTATCAATGTGGCCAGCTCTATGGAACAGGTAAATGTTTAATTTTATTTAAATGTAAAGAGTCACATGGCTACTGTTGTGGACAATGCAGTAGTCTGCTTCTGTAACCTATTCCTGTCATTTTCTGGCATAAAAGTACCACGAGGACAAGGAGATAGGGACATTTTCTTCACTGCTAGACCCTCAGAAATGCATTATAAATACTTAGTATTTGTCACATGGGTGAATGAATAAATGGAGATGTGACTGCTTCTCCTGCAAAGATTTAAGAGAAAGGAATGATCTAAAGTTACATCTTGGCCTAACTTCTCATTTCAGACATGAGTATCCTCATCTTTCAGAGATGAGAAGCATCTTTTGCAAGGACACTCAGAAAGTGATGGAAATCAGGACCTTGGGCTCCTGATTTCCAGTGCTTGCTTCGCTCTCACACCTGTCCCTCCTGGCAACACACTTACCTTCTTCTGGTAGTGTGTTTTCCCAGGCTGGCAGCCCAAAGCCATTGTTAAAAATGGCAACCGCCATTCACCACTCTCTCTCTTACCCGCATATAGAATTCTCGACCTTCATTCCCAGATTTGATCTGGAAAATGTAATAGGCTCCAGGATAGCGGGTGGTTGCTTGCATCTGGAAGATGTCAGCAGGAACAGAGCGTCCTGACACCACATCCATGTCCCGGAACAAGATGGTGAAGGGCTGGTCTCTGCAGCCAGGATTTTCAGCAGGACACATGCAGCGACTGGAGGGAAGAGAAATCATGTGACAACTCAGTCAATCCTTTCCAGGTGCTGGTTGGGCCTACTTGCTTTCTCAAAAGCCTGAAAATGAGGCCGGCCCATTTTTATTATCAAATAGGGTAAATGCAGATCATCTCTGCTTTGGGCTGTAGTCTAAATTCTCCAGTATTAGATGAGCTCTGTTCACTGCAGAGTAGACTTTTCTAGTTATCAGATATTGTGGCTACTAGAGGACACAAATGGGATCACTGGTTCTCAGAACACTGGAACATTCTCCAGTGTACTCTCCACTTGTCATGTATTTAGGCAGCAAAATGTGCCAGTGGTCACGTAGCTCTTTGCTTCTCAGCCAAGGCTACCCATTAAGAAATTTTAAAATTGAAAATTACATTAGATTGATGGGTTTCAAGGATCCCTTCACACACTCTATTGCACTTAGCTCAATTTGTATGGAATATAATTGAATGTCTGTTCAATAAACAAGAGCTCAGAACTCACTATGTACAAGACACAATATTAGATCATTTAGAAATTCAGTGATAAATAAGAACGTAACTTCAAATAGTTTACTTTCTAGTAGGAGAAATGAATAAAGAACACAAATATTTCTAATACAAAGCAGCTGACTTAAAACTAGCAATAGTAAGTCTTAATATAAAATATTCAACTTTTATTATCAGACCCCTGTGATTTATCCCTTAGTTCCCGTCCCTCGATTTGTCATTTCCCTTGTGAGGCTCCCCCTAGGAATCAGAGTTCACAGCGAGGATATCCGCTGATGTGTATTTTGGTGGCCAGCAACGGAGTTAACATTGTCATTTTTTGGTCATTCTCTCCTAACTTTCATTCCACCCACAAAACCCAGAAATTCTACCTCCAAAATAGATTCCAAATCCATTTTCTTCTCACCACCTCCCCTGTCACTGCCATGATCAACTAGGCCATCCTCCTCCTCTTCACCTGGACCTCCAAGACGGCCTCTGAACACCTCAGAGTGCCCCTTGCAAACACACATCAGATTAGGCTTCTCCCTTGCTGAAGACTCTTTGGTGCAATTTAAATAAAAACTACACACCCACTTTAACCGTTATGCACCATGGAGTCTGGCTCTGTCCTCATTTCCAGCCTCCCTAGGCCACTGCCTACTGCATTCCGTAGGCTGCAGCGACTCAGGCATCTTCCATTCCCTGTAAGCCTAAGGGTCACGCTTGCCTTACTGTCTTTGCACATGAAGTTTCCTTTGTTCTTTTACTCTCCGTTTAATGTGGGCTAGGCTGGGAGTGTAATTTCCTCAGGGAGACGTCTGGACCCCTGGGTCTAGACAAGGTAAAATCTACTCTTTCTTTAAAAATGTTTTTTTTTTCCTCCATTCTTTCTGCTGATAGCACTTGTCTCATTTTATTTATGGAACAATTTGTTTAAGTCTCTTTCATGAGACTTGAACTTCCTAAGAGCAAAATCTAGCACTTAACATAGGACAGGAGCCCTACTAAGAGTTAATAAGAAAATGAATACAAGGAATTTCTGAAGTGTCCTTTAAAAAAAAAAAAAAAAACAGGCTGCAACAAAACAGCCAAGTCAAAATATTTCTGGTGCCAAAAAGGCCACATTAAAATGTCAAGTGTCACACAGAAAATAATTGCTTCCTAAAAGAAATTTGGAGAGGGGAGTGATGGCTCACAGCTGAAGAGGATCACAAGCAGCTGGGAGCAGAGCATCTCAACAGAGCTCTGGAAGGTGGGGTGGAGAGGAAACAATGCCTTCCATATGGCAGGAAGTGTATGGGCAAAAACAAAGAGGTGGCCTACAGGGGTAGGGGTGAAGGTGAGAGCAGGTGCTCTTCCCAGCTGCTGGGGATACAGGAAACTTGAACAGGAAAGAAGCTAGTAGGGGCAGGAGGGCGGGAGTCACTGAGCACCATGACTTCCCTGGCAACACCAATTTGGGGCCAATGGTTGAAAGGGACCAGTTTCTGGCTGCATACAAACCAAGAGAGAACAGGAACAGAAGCAGCTTGCATCCCTGTTCTATTGCTAAGGGCCCTTGGAGCAGAAATGGGAAATCCTTTTTCTAATGGTTACTAAGAAACATAGCTCTGGGTAACAAGTGAAGAGGTCTCCGAAGGACTCGCCTGTCCTGACTTTGTCCTTTGTTTGCCATTTTTGATCACAGTAGGAGCCACACTGGTAAGGCATGAATTCTTCTGCAGATGCTGTGTTCCTAGAGGGTATGGCAAGTGTGCCTGATCCTTCCCTGCATCTGCAGCTTAAAAGCTTGGAGTTATTCAGGGGTTAAGAACTGTGTGGCTGACGGGGGTGGGGCAGAGGATGTACAAGCACGTGTGCATGCACATGCATGAGCACATGCATTTGTGTACAAAGGCAGAGGAGGAATTGAGATGATCCAATAAGGCTTAAAAGAGAAAGAAAAAACACTCATAGGATGCCAGGGGTAGAGGGCATTGTCTTGGCGCATTAGCATTATTGAAATTGTTTTCCTGTAATTCTCTCCTCATTCCTAATATTTGCCATCTGTGATTTAGTAAAGACAGAGACTTGCTTAGATCAAGTTAAATACTCTCAGCTCTCCACTCACAGAGCAGTCCCAGAAGATAGGAAGCCTTCATTTGTCTTGGGAGTATGTTGGAAAGGCAGAAGCCATTTCAGTTGCCAATGTTTTGATTGGGTCTTTTATTTGAGGGTGGGTTTAAGTTTTTGAGTTTTTTATGTATTCAAGATATTAGTCCTTCATCTGAGGAATAAAAATATGGCATTTATATACAATGGAATACTACTCTAGTACAAAGAAGGATAAACTTGGGTCAGCTGTAGGAAAATGAACGTACCTTGAGACCATCACATTAAGTGAAATAAATCAGATATACAAGTTTAAATAGTGCATGGTTTCTTTTATATGAGAAACCCACAGTATAAATAAAGAGTAAAATATAAGATAGATAATAAGAAACGAGGAAATAGTTTTTTGCATCAGGAATCAAACTCAGGACCTTGTGCTTGCCAGGCAGGCACTTTGCTGGTTAACTACATCCCATCTTTTATAAAGAAGAAGGTGACCAAGAAATAAAGGGAGAGGGAGAGGAAGGGAAGGAAAGGGAATTTTAAAAAGGGTTAAAATGTGTTATGGATGTATACCAAATCCCCACGATGAATGTAATCATCATGTACTATAAACATGTACTTATTAAATAAAGAGGCATAATCCAGACCCCATCCCAGACTCACTGTTCCCAAACCTGCACCCTGACAAGGTCCCCAGGAAGGCCTCTATGAGTTACATTTGAGAAGTCCAGCCCTGAAAGACCTCAGGTATCCTGATCAGTCATTAGAAGGGAAGGGGAGTTCCTGAACCCTGCCTCTCTGGCTGGTTTTCAGCAGAATCTCCGTGTAGCTGTGGTACAAGTTGGGAGTCACAGAGAAGTGCTGTGGATATTGCACACACTCATACACACAGATGAGCATAGACAGTAGGCACTAGACCAGGTTTCCTGATTCCCTGGTTGGTGCTCTCCCTTTTACAAGACGGAGCCACCCTCATGAGCCAACCTCCCCCTCCATGTTTCCAGTTCCCAAGGGAAAGCCATGACTTACTTGTCACCAATCTGCAGATAAGGCTCCTCACAGCGGATGGGATCAATGCATTTGAAGCCCCCTTGCAAATTGTAACAAGACTGCAAAGCGGTACATGTGTGGTTCCGGTGCTCACATTCGTTGATGTCTGAAATGCAAGGTGGATCCAGGGCGCTAAAGCAGGGTAGCACTTCTAGGCCATGGACTTGTGAGATGTTTAGAGGTGAGATCAAAGTGGGGGCTACCTCGGTCTTGCTGCATTAGAGTACTGCACTACTAAACACAACAGCTTCTGGACTCATATGACTACTTACTGGGTGCTTGAAATGTAGCTAGTCCAAGCTGAGATGTGCTTTAGGTAAGAGATACACACCACATCTCTATGACTTAGTCCAAAATGTGCAAAACACTTCATCAGTAACTTTTATACTGAGTACATGTCAAAAACAAGATTTGGGATCTATTGGATTAAATAAAATACAGTATTAAAAGTAGGTTTACCTGTTTCTTTTTATGCTTTTCATGTAGTTTTATATTAAATATAAAATATAAATTGACATACATGACTCACACTTATAACTCCCATGATATTTCTATTGCCCAATACCACCAAGGAGAATCTTGCTTGGTACTGGGAGAAGGGAGGTTCAAGGAGAGTCAGGGGCTCCTGCACAGACTCCCTGATAGGTAGAGTGTGGGGCTGGAAATGAGACTCAGCAGTCAATCTGGAAAAGACCCAGTCTTTTCACCGGTTGCAGTCTGGAGCCTTCCAGGACTAGCTGTCAGGTCCATAAGGTCTCCTTCACATCCATTCTCTAGGAAGTCAGCAGAGGAAAGCTGAGCCAGCTGCTATCCAGGCCATATGACTGACTCTGGTTCTTGAGCCAGGGCCGAGTCATAAGGAGTTCAGGTTGGGTCTGTCAGGTCTGTTCTCAGAGGGGTTGCAGAGGTCTGCCTAATGAGGGTGCCATTTATATCAGCAGAGCTCATTATGAAGGGTGAGTGGCCTGTGTCCTGGCCACGGATGGGCTGTGGGCAGTAGAGGAGGCACCAGCCCAGGCATGCTACCCTTAGCTGTCCTCTGATGCCACAGCACCTACAATCTCACCCCTGCCACCTCTCTGTAGTTACACTGGATTCCCCAGGTGACCACCTGAGTCAGTCTCGGCCAGGCCTCTCTGGACAGTCTTACCCTGACAGCTGCGGTTGTCTTCCAGCAGGATGTATCCTGGTGGGCAGGAGCAGAAGTATGTGCCGGGCTGGTTCACACACTCATGCTGGCAGAGGAACTCAGAGAAGCTGCACTCGTCCATATCTGGGGGCGATAAGTTACCCTTGCTGTTTATTACCGCAGACAGGGGATAGGAACTTAGTGGTCATTTATTACAACACCCACACTATCTTTATGTCACAAAGTTATCAGGTCACTTCTTGAACCCTTAGGATGATGAGGAACTCCCTATTTTCTGAGGATGCCTATTGATATTTGGGCAGTTCTAATTGTTAGAAAATCCTTTCTATATGGAGCTGAGATTGAAATCCACTTGCATCAAGTTTCCAGCTTCACCTGCCTCTGGCTCACCGTTCGTCGTCTGCTCCTTACTAACTCACTATGCCCTATAGATGCATTCACTCTCCGTTCCTGATCCATCCAAGGGGCTGAGGTTTGCTTGCTTGCTGGGGTTTTCTGGGTACACAGCTCTTCTGCAAGACCCCCAAAACATTCACTGACTCTGATCTTTGGAAAGACCAATTTTGGGTAGTGCCAATTTCCCTCTCCCCTCCTAGATGAGGTAAAATATTGCTCCTAAAAGCACAGTTAAGAAAGCCATGGGATGTAGCTCTATTAAATCTCACTGTATCAAGCCAATACTTGGAAGGCTGAGGCAGAAACATTGCTTGAGGGCAGGAATTTGAGGCCAGCCTAGGGAACACAGTGAGACCTCATCTTAAAACAAATAGACACAAAGAACAAACAAATAAAAACCTCCTTGACAGAGAAAACTGAGTTAGAATGGAGTGGGTAAGCACATTGTCTCCTACGGCTTGCCTGGCTCAGATGCTCCTTGGGACAGGGGACGTGGCAGCCTCCAGCCAGTCTGGAACCAGCTGTACAGGACCACCCTGGGGTGCAGAGGAGGTCTGGGGGGAGGGGCACTGTCCGTGCGATATTACCAGACATCCACATAGACGTCGGGCAGCTGATGCAGAAGCAGGAGGCCCAGAAAAGGCAACTCCTCATCTCACACAGAGTTTGGCAATGGAGCCCCCATTTGTGCCTTATTCGAAGACTGTGCCAAAGAAAACATGTTTTTCTTGCATTTGTTGTTTCCCAAAAACTTGCTTTCACTAGTTTCCCCAAGTGACATGTCCTCGGATTACTCTGTAACTCACAGACCATGGTGATTCGGATCACCCAGAGAGGGTGTCGGCATGAATGGAGCTGCTGCTCTAGCATGGGAGAATTCCGGGCGCTACAGGCCTAATGCCTTTTGCAGCTGAGAAGGGAAACTGTTGGCTGACTCTCTTGGTGGTCTTTGGGTGGAGGATTAGGAGGCAGCAGAATTAGGATGCTGATTTGAAATGTTAAAGCTGCTCTGGAACATCTGCTACTCCTCCAGGATCTCCTCAGAGACACCAGGACTCTGGCCCCAGCCCGTCATAACAGAGAGTGCCCTTGTTTATTTCTGTGAAGTTTGTCGGTTCTGTTCATTCTTGGTGGAAGGAGTAGTCATGCCTGTCAATTCCTGAGGCTAGGAATGTATTAAGCATCGGGTTAAAGGGTTCCCAAGCCTTTGGAGTACCTCAGCCCCGTGGAGATACTGCCAATGTTCACATTTTCCAGAAGAAAAATTGAAGCTTACAGACCTTAGGTAAACAGACTGAACTCAAAGATAACCAGTAAACAAGAAAGCTGGGATATGAACAGAGTTAGCACCTCAATTCTAGGAGAATTCTGAGTTCCTCTAAGTGCAGCGCCCAGGACCTAAGGTAACTCAAATTGGGACAGCTCTCCCTAAGAGCAGTGTTAGTTTTAGTACTACTCCGGGGGAGGCTAACACCCTCTCCTGCCTCCCACTGGCACAGAGGGGCTGTAACTGATCCTACTCAGTTATCTTTGAGTCTGCAATTTCCAGGCCTTGGGGCTGTGGCTCCAACCTCCACTGACAGGGAGCACACATCAGGCCATGTTCACTCTTCCGCATACAACCCCACCATGGTTTCCAGAATTAGTTCCATTTAGCCAATCCCTGAGGGTCCAGGGACAAGGCTAGGAAGGGTCCTGTGGGGAAGAGTCACACCAGCTATGACCACACAGTGAGAACTTCTGCTCAGGGAAGTTGGAAGTTCAGAAAACAAACTCCTGGAATCACACTGCTGTTCTCTCTGTAATGTCTGCAACAGTCAGGGATCATGCCAAATCTCACAGGAAGTGGGCATCACTTGAGGGATTAAAAGTCTCTGACACTTACTTATGGTAGACTAATTAAAAGATGACGACACTTCAGTGCACCAACCTGTCTGATCCTTATGAACCCTCTGTGAATGCTGATTCTTTGGGTTGGTTGGCTGATTAATTTTTTAACATAGGAGAAAACTGAGGCTCAGGAAGTGTCATGACCAAGGAGAGTAGTGCACAACAGAGGCAGACTTGGACCTCAGCTCTATCTAGCTCCATACAGTCTCTGCAGATGATCAGTAAATATCTTGCGGATTTGCAGAGAATTCTGGAGAGACAATCCCCTCTCATAATGTTAAGATTTCCAAACTTCTTGTTAGTTCTTTGGCCCCAAGTCTCCAAGAAGTGCCAGGAGGAACTGAAATCCAGGAAGAAAGTGGCCTTTCATGCCTAAGGGTATTTTATTTCTGTTTCTGGGGCTGATATTTAATCAGTTTAAGGTTCTCTGTGATTGCCTGCTTATGGCTGTGACTTTCCTGGCCCTGGGGAGAGGCACTTAATTGTTTCAAGAGGGTCTGTCCCTAGAACACTCTATTCCCTATTGAAACTATCAAAAAGTCTCATTCACTACCTGGGTCAGTTCCTGTTACTTTGAAACTCAGAATCAGGAAACCTTTCATTCTGCACAACAAAAGGATTTTTACGCCCTAGCTTATGGCTCACTTACTTTTAAAAAATACAAGGAGGCATTATTAATTTGCACTTTGCTAATGTGATGATAAAAGTAGATGGAATGGAGTTTATTGTAATTCAACATTTAAAGAAACAAATAGGGAAGGAGTAAAGAGGGAGAGAGAGAAAAAGGGAGGGAGGGAGGGAGGGAGGGAGAGAGAGAGAAAGAAAGAGGGAAAGGAGTTGTAAATGGCTCTTTATGTGGGATGTTACAGTGACAAATACTAGTAAGATGTGATCTCTATTCTAAAAGAATTTATAACTTAGGAATAGTTTTCTATCTAGGAAATTCATAAAATGTAACTTTTTGGGGAAAAATGGAGATTAATAAGAAAATTATAATAGAGCTAATAAACTAATATGGAATCATAGTTTCTTGAGCTTGGAATAAATTTATAAAAGGTCAACTGAACTACCACATCTATAGTCTTATGATAAAGATTCCATTCATTCAACATTCAAATTTCCATTCATTGATTCAAGAACTGTTTATTGCTTGCTCACTATGTACTAGGCCTGGAGCTGGGCACTGATAATTTACAAAGATTTCAGAAACTTATAATGTACAATATATGTATTTACATGCATGATCTCATTCATTCAAACCCCTCTCCTCTGCCTGATAAGATGTGCTATGATTACCAGGTCACTATCCAAATATAATCTATGTTTTATCTTCAGGACTTGAGTCAGATCTGGGTGAGAATAGATAACTCTGAGACCAACAGGCAAAATGAATGGCTTCTCTTCCTTGTCAGCTCCACATTAGTCCTAGATGGTAGGACTTTTTGCATTAGAGTTCAAATGACAAGGAAGATGAGACTCTACCCAACAGCTCAGGAAATAACTCATCTCTGTTCTGTGTGGTTATGACCCCACAACACTGGGAAATGTTCTCAGCTGGACATGTGTCCAGGAAATGAGAGGAAACATCTGTGAAGGACACCTCGCCCTCCAACCCTGGGCCTCCAGGTGAGCTCTCCAATGTCAAGCCCATTACCACTGCAGTGAACACCATCATCCTCCAGTTCATATCCTGGATCACAGCGACAGATGAAAGATCCGTAAGTGTTGACGCAGGTTTGCACGCAGGGGTTCTCAGTTGCACACTCGTTCACATCTGTGAAAAGCCAAAGGACTTCAGTGACCATTCTTACAACAGAATATCAACAGACTAACCACAGGGAAGAAATGTATCAGCAAAAATAAAATAAATAAATAAATAAAAATTCAGTATGGCTAGGAGACCAGATAGACAGGTACCAAAGATCTCCATCTAGGATCTATCAGATCACGATTGCAGACCCCACAGTACCCACTGAGGTACAAGGCTGTCTGTCCACATTCCCCTACTGGGGGCTCAAGAAAGTAGGAAACAATGCATAGATACATCATATATAAGTATGGGCAGGTGCTTCTAATAAGTTTGCTCATTCTTGGAAGTTCCAGGCAAAGTTTACTCTTTCCATCCCCGCTACATACCATCACCAATTGGCTCTTTTTCTCTCACTGCTTTTGAAGTTTGGGCTTAACAAATAATCATGATAATTCTATGAATACACTTATGATGTATAAATAACTTCACTGGTTGTAAGAAATAACTTCACTCACTTGATCCATACATTTCTGCTTCAAGATCACTGCCCCCATCTCAGAGGTTAAGTAGGATAAGAAAAGCCATAGAGGGCACAAGGAGTGATGGGAGGTTATCTTCTTGTTGTGGTGACAGTTTCATGTTAAAATGAATGAAATCATGTTCCTCTAGCAGTGCAGTTGATTGCACAGCAATTATACTGAAATAAAGTTATTTAAAGGATTCTGAGTAACAAGAGATATGTCCCAGGACCACTAACAAGGTCCTGCTTGGGACCCAGACATGACTCGGAGGTCTTTCCACAGTTTACAAGATTCACTCTGCTTGGCCTCTGGGATGGTGGAGGTGGAGGGGACATTGACATCGGCCGCTACACTTACAACACCCCTTCTTGTGTGCTCTGTGTGCTAGGGGCTGAGGTTCCACCTGAGGGCTGGACTATCTACTTCAAAAGTCCAGTTAAACCTCTTAAGACTCTGAACAGAGAGAGATCCAAGTGTCTTCAGAGGTAAAGACATTTTCCATGAACAGGTGGATGGGCTTTGCTTAAGGGGAGGGCTAATCCTATGCGCACAGAACACCTGCTTCCTGCCCTCTCCAGAGCTCTCAAAGGAAAAATAAACAAATGAACAAACATACAGGGAGGGCCCTGCGAGATACTGATCTCCCTTGGAGCCCACAGTGGGTTGGCATTTCTCTACTTGGCTGGGCCTGAGCCAGGCAGGAAAATGTCCATCATGCCAAGTCACCAAATGTGAGTACAGACAGTAGGTGCTGGGGCGTACAGGGATAGCATCTCCAGCTTCTGGCAGATGCAGATGAATGAGCTCAGGTTTGCCTCCCTTGTCAAGAAGCTGCCTCTGAGAACAAGACCAAAGGGTTCCGCTCCTGAGGCTCTACTGCCTACCCAGGTGTCCCTCTGGATCCAAACTTGCTGGACAAGAGGGCTGGGCCCTTGCTTTTCTTCCCAACTTTACTATCACCAGGCTGCCTCACTTTGGTTAAGTGGCTTAACCTTTCTGAGTCTCAATTTTCTCATTTATGAAGCAAGACCACAAGCATCTGGCTGCCTACCTCACTAGGTTATTTTCTGTTGGGGGTCAGGAAGATAAACAGACATGGCAAAGCTCGGGGGGACAGAGCACTCTTCCTCCCACAGAGTGTCGGGATTGCAAAAGCTCCATGTGTTGCCTGTAGGCTTCGCTGATGCAATATCCTGGTGGCTGAGTGCCCGCATCCAGCCAGAGTGCTGTGCCCGCTGCTTTTATCACATGGCTAGACTTGGCTCCACCAAGTATATTATCTGCTCTTTGTCACAGACCCATCCCTGAGAGGCCAGAAGGAACACATGTGGCTTTTTGGCTCTGCTGTGCACGGAACTTCTCCAGAGGTACTGACTGGTGCATGGTGCCAGCCTCTGAGGGAAAACCACTCAAGTTGGCACCTCCAAACCCTGGCCTCAGCACTGAGAAGTCAACGTCTTCCCTAAGCTGCTTATCATTGCAGCATAAAGAGCTAGGCGCCTGTTTCCTGCTTCCCTGGGAAGAAAAGGCCCCCACTCCATCAGATTCCTTAACCTTCAGGCCCTGCCTCTGCTCTTAGAAGAAAGTGGCCTCTTCCTGCTAGAGGAACCCGGCAGAGACTTCTTGGAACAATTAGCAGAACCAGCTTGGGAGGAAAGCCTTACAAAGGATCCAGGATCAAATCCTTGAATGCTTATGCCTTCCTGTTTATCCAGTGATTTAGATATGATTAAACTAATGGAGACATAATATCCTCAGACTAGCTGGCCAGGAGCCTGCCAGCCAGAACTCGATCAAATGGTGTGACAAGGAAATGGGCCCTATGGAACGTGGTGGCAGGCTCCAGACAAAGACCTCATTCTGCGTCTCTGGTGCTGCCTCCACCCCTGTCCAGGCTGCTGCCAGGGACAGGAGGCCCAGCTGGGGGGCAGGGGCAGTGAGCTGGGGCCAGAGCAGGACTTGTGCTAATTCCTTGGGTTTTAAATCCCTTGTACACTTCCTGGGCAGAAGAATCCTTCTGATGAAAACGTCAAGAGACATACAACTTGCTTTTCCTACTTATCAGTAGTTGAAGTGATCACGGGGAAATCAGAAAGTGCTTCTGTTTCATTCAGACTTACTGGGGCATGCTTTGGAATAGGGGAAGGTGTTACCACTCCTGGATTCCACTAAACAGCAAGCCATCCCAGCATGGGTTCATAGGAAAACTGTAGTGGGAGAATTGCCCACAAGACTGATGCATGGTTTATTTTGTGATTCATCAGGAATTGGGCCCCAAACATCCTAACATTCTTCTCTGTGTCTCAGAAACCAAATTTAGGCTACAGGACATGCAACAAAATTCCAGATTAGGTGAGGCCAGCAAGCCCATTTCTGGCCAGCAGCCACAGACAGAGAAGCAAATCCATGAACCCATAAGCACACAGCTAACGGATGATTGTGGTTCTTTCCTCTGCTATACTTAGAGCACTTTTTGAGCTGTTTCCCATAACCTCAGTTCAGGTATCAAGTTTCTGTAAGCACTGGGGGTGGGTGGGTAGTGACAAGGAATAGGAACACACTTTGATGACAGTATTTTGCAGACAGAAACTGTCAGGCTCTGAAGATGACTGCGGCTCCTGTTTCCTGCGGTGTCCAAGTTATCACGTGTGCCACATACCTTGGCAAGACCTTCCATCCTCATTGAGGGTAAAACCAGGGTTGCATGTACAAGAATAGGATCCAGGAACATTCGCACAGAGCTGCTGGCAGTAACCATAGCGACACTCATCGATGTCTGGAAACAGAAATGCAATCAAGGTAAGGCAGGTGTCTCCCACTGATGCTGCCCTCAGCAGGGTGTCACTGCTGCCCTTCTGGAGAGAGATGAGGAAGGAAGCTAAGGGGAACCAGTGCTAAGATAGGCTCAGCTAGGTGTTGGGGGGGACTGGTGTTCTCTGTTACAAGGCTCCTTCTCCCTACAATCTTCTACCTCCTTGGTCCCTCCTAGTCCTAAGAACACTTGAACCTATCCAGAAAGCTGTGGAAGACATTTGTGCTTTGTGTGGGATACTGAGCAAAACAGCCTCCGCGATTTCACCTTAACATTAAGATTCAACTCTGCAACTCCATATAGACTCTTCACTGTCCTGTTGAGGGCAAGTTAGTGTCGCATATAAATAAGGAGAATACATAGCATTGTTCAACAGGCTCGTTACCAGCTCCATTAACAATGACTGTGGCCTCACAAGCTTAAATTGACAAGGTTTCTCTTATTGAGGAGCCCAAAGTATAAATAAATTAAAGTGCAAACTAAAAGATGCTAGCAAACAGGGAGATAGATCTTTTGCAAATGAGAAGGGAATCAGACAGGGAGGGCAGTGAGAGGGGAAGGAAGGGGATGTAAAAAGAATTAAGATGTGTTATGTCCATGCACCAACTCCCTGCTATGAACGTAATCATTATGTACTGCAAACATGTACACATAAAAAATTTTTTAAATTCAATTAAAAAAACAGTGACTATGTCCAGCTTTAGCAACAGGAGCAGGCGCAAGCCAGGAAAAGCTGGATAGTGCTACAGTGAGGACAAGGATGTGAGGTTCACTTTGGCTCTCCTCCTTGTACCAGAGCAGACATAAAACTCTGGATAAACACATATCCTCTCAGCAGTGGCTGATCTTTCCAGAGAAAGCACCAGCACTGTGGTCAATGGGTACTTTCAGCAGTTCAACGGGTAATATGACCTCTCTAAGACACTCATCAATCTACAGGGAGCTTGATGTCATTGGGAAAGCATGTCTCAACATCCTTGATGAGATCTGGGCTGGACAGCTCTCTCCTGTAGGAAAGGGTGATTTGCATGAAATCACCAGCCTTGTGGAAGGGACAATATTCTCGCCTATATGGGAACCAGCTGACCTAACTGGCCCTTATCTCCTCCCCACCTCTCCTGAAACTAACCACATTCCTTCCCTTGAACCCCTGTTCTTTGGAACCACAATCCAGCGATGGCTCTGAAGGCCAGCCTGTGCCTGGTTTCTACTGACTCCTTTAAAAGAACTGCACTTCTCCAGCCTACCTCAGTCCCTTCCTATTGTTCAGCTCTCAGCAGAAGCCCTGTCTCATGATTCTGTGTCACCTCTGAGTCCCAGCAACTTCTGTCCTGGTTTACCCCCTGATGCAAGAGCTGGGAAACTCTTGTCTGGGAAGACCACTGGCTCATGCAGCTGTCCTGATCCTTTCTGAGGTGGAAAACAAAGGCCTCAGGAGACACTGACAAGTAGTCAGGACACCCTTCCACTAGGGCTACCTAGGATGAAAGGTAGCCCCCTGCAAAAGTAATTCCTCCAAAGATGCACAGCAGGAGTGGGGAGTGACAGGCAGCTGTGGCAATTTCATTTTGAATAAGAAAGAAGAGTTTGGCCAAGGGAAGAAATGAATTCTACCACAATTAGGAAAAGTCTTCACATCAGATGTGAAGTATGAGGGGGCATGCCACATGGCACCATGTTAGGCCTCTGTGAGCAACCTGCCAAGCATCCTGCTCCTTAGAGGAGGACAGCTCTCCCAGAAAAAGGGATACCCCCATTCTTAGTATCTCTCAGATATAGAAGGAATTTCCTGGTTGGACCTAGGTTTTCTGTAATGGGATCCTGTGTATCCAGGTCTCCCTTACCTCTCTAGTACCCCCTATGATGGAGAAAACTAGGTCAAGAAACAGAAGACTTGGATATTAGACCCAATTTACTTTAACTTTGCCAGAAATGTTCCTTCTCTTTGAGTCTGTCTCCAAGTCTATAAAAGTTGGATGACATAATAACTAACATCCCTTCCAGCTCTGAAATTCTACATATTCAGTTCCTGTACAAACGACTCCCTCTCACTGATCTGCTTTTGTTCAAATCAGTAGCATCAAATTTTCCATTAGAATAGAGGTTGGTTTAAATGCAGGCATTGTCATATTCATCAATGCCTGTGTGCACCCATTCTTCTGTGTGTGCCTGGGATGGAAAACCTAGCCAAGTCTAGACGGGCTTATCAGACCTCAAGAATATTTTAGACAGAGTGTGAGAGTAGACCCATCAAGAAAGGCTTGGAAAGAAGCACTTTTTCTTTTTTTGTTTTCATAATGTTGTTTGGATCTCCTTCTCAGCCCCTCTAGTACTAACTTTCAGGCAACAGAACAATGTTTTAGAGAATTTAAACTGGCAAAACTTCACTAGAAACTCACAACATAGGAATTACACCCTAGATGTAGAAATTTAAATCACGGCTAGAAAATGATGAGAATTCATTCACTTGGTTAAATACAAATGTAGAGAGGAAGAAACTAAAGTTAGCCCTTGGGTAAAAATAAACAAAAGATAATACAGCAGATGCCAAATGCAGGCAGCAAAATTCTCAATACGTGATGATTAATTCTTGTGGAGTAAATAGAACTACCACAGCTAGTGGGGCGGGCATAGCACGGGGCAGCTATGATGTGCTGGGAGGAGATGATGTCTGATCAGAATCTACCGATCCATACTTGAGACCTGGAATACAACTAAGGAAAAATATTCTCTTGGCTTAATATTTCTCACTAGGACAGAACAACTCTCATTTCTATAATTTCCTGGTGTAGACATAAATTTCCTAAAGATAGGAAGAAAAGCCAGATAAAACCAAACATGAACCCTTAAAAGTATATTCAAAAATTATAAGAAGCTGAGTACAGTGGCATGCACCTGTAGTACCAGCTACTGGAGATGGGAGGATTGCTCGAGACCAAAAGTTTGGCACCAGTGTGGGTAGCAGAGTGAGACTCTGGCTCAAAAAACAAACCAAATCTTATTATGATGACATGATGATGGCTGTGACAACTGATTTAAAGACTCATGTGGACAGGGGACATAGCACAGAGGCAGAGCACTTGCTGGCATGCATAAGACGAAGAGTTTGAGCTCCAGTGCCATGAAATAAACAAAAAAAAAAAAAAAAAAAAAAGAAAGAAGTGATGACATGTGTGACTAATCTTTTGCTTTCCTCCTAAAGAAAAGCTTACTAAACTTAGGCCACCCAATAAGCACATATCCCATAATATACCTGCCACTCATTGGCTTTCAACAGTCCCAGTGGACCCCAGAGAGCTGTTACCTAAGCATTGGCCTTCCAGAAGCCAATACCCATCGGTGCAGGAACAGGTGTACCCCCCTTCTGTGTTGATGCAGATCTGGGTGGGGTTGCACTGGTGGGAATCCGTTGCACACTCGTCCACATCTGTAAGAAAGATTTCAAAGAATGTCACCTTTACCTTTCCAAAGGGCCTGGAGCTCCCAGTGCTGCCAACTGCATGTTCATTGTGGATGAGAAGCAGATGATAATGTTGATGGATTACATGGAGATGGAGGTGTCTCTGATAGGCACTTGTAGGACACACTGACCTCAAACCACAGGAGGGCAGAGCTAGTCTACTTACTGGAAATCCAAAAAGGAAATGGCCAAGAAGGGCATGCCTCACCTCAAGTATTCTTCTGCCATCCCATGCAACAGCTCATCAAAAGTTCATTGCCTCATCATTGCCCTTTCTTGATTTAGAAAGGCATTTTGGGTAAGTTTATTCACTTGCATGTGAAATGGGTGTCTGTAACATACTTACTCTGTGCACAGGATTCTGCTCATCACCACAGAGAGAGAACATAATAAAAGTAAGAGAAATGTCCTGCCCACAGGATTACATGAGCTTAATAATATTTGTGTAAGAAAACCATTTGACTGAGGGCTCTTGCCCCTTCTTGAAGCTTCACAGAGCCCTGAGATCTTCCCTGCATTCCCAGAACCCCATGCACAACCCTCAGTTAAGGTTCGTGCATCCAGGGAAGTCTGCTTGTAACTGAGAGCTTCAGGGCACAAAATCAAATTGAATCTCCCAAGGCATCCAGCACAGGCACTGTACACAGTCTGCAGCTGAAACTGTTTGAATTGAAACATCCTTTCTTTAGTCTCCATGAGGGAATTCCTGGTGCTTCATGCCTACTAAAGCAGGGACTTAGTACTAAACACTGTGCATCAATGCCCTCCACTCAGGTCCACTGAGTGCCCTGGGTCTACCAGGCCTAGCTCCAAAGTCTTTCCTCCCACTGGCCCCACCTTTGCCTGCAGGCATCATCCTCTTGTCCTCTACTTCATGACTTCAGGAGGGTTTGCTCTTCTATACCTACTCCTACGTACACCAAACCAACCATCATGCAGTTAGAAACAACAGTAAAAGCTGTGATTCACCATGTGGTATGCCTGGTACCTCTTTGGTTACCATATTTATGCTCACCACCATCCCAAAATGGCCAAGCATATGGGTCTTATGTGAGACCAGCTCCCCACCTCTAAGTAAGCATGGACAGTCTCCAAAACCTGGCTCCAAGGTGACGGCACCATCATTCCTTCCCGATGTGCTGACTACGTGCAAAACTGAATGCAATGCGCCAGTCCAGTTTTCAGCTGCAAGAAGTCCAGCCCTTCACCCCCTCCCACTCCAGCTCTGCCCACCAAGCCAATCCTCCTGGGGAGCTGGCAAAGAATGCTTGGCCAACAGCCCCTCCTGCCCCAATTGATAACGAAGCCTGTGGCAATAAATAATGCCATTATTGGCCAGTGTATGTTTACATTTTCCCAGCAAGGAGTGATGGATGACAATTGTACCCTGGGAACAATGTCGCCTTAGAAATTCCTGCTTTTCTTCCTGCTTTGAGGGGAATAAAGGATGAGAGAGACCAAAGAGGACAAAGAACTGTTAGCAAGCCAAGGTGGCAGCAGGGACCCAAGTTTCTGTGCTCATTAACTTCCGGGATATACAGCATCCCACAGACTTGTACACAGGGAAACCAAGGGCCCACAGGTCCCTGGACTGGGTTCAGGTGGGCGTAAAGGACTGAACTGTGGGCCCATGTGTATGTATTCACACGTGAGCATGAGCATGTGCAAAGCAGTCAGAAACAAAATCTTTGAAGTGCACTTTTTAAAAACACCTACCACTTTATCAAACTAAAAAATGAACTCCATTCTACCCTACTTCTGTTGAGGTACATGTAAAAAAATTAAAATTCATTTGCTGGATTATCAATCTAAAGCATATTTTGAGAACCCAGTAAGTTCCTGGAGTTCTTTGAAGGGTGTCTCCATCTTTGTACCTTCAAAACACATCTGGGAGAAGGCTGTGTTCATTGTCAAATTCAACAGCTGCTGAATGGTCACATGAATAGCAAACATTAGTACTTTAAATCCCCAAATCAGCTTTCCCCAGCCAATTAGCTGATAAAACCATGTGGGCTTAAAAGTAACCTCCCCCTCGCCCAAGCAAAGTCAGCTTACACACCTTGTGGAACTCAGAATGGGAATGTTTGCACATTCCAGCTCCCAGCTAAATCCTTTACATTAAATACATTTGACTTAAATAGCAGAAGGAAAAGTATACTGAGCCACTCCAAGGACATTCTTGGGCAGGGGATCCTCCTTGCATCAGTGGAAGAGAACAAGATATGACACCCTGAACAACTGTTATTCTAATGGGCAAATCGCATGGGGACGTCCTTTCCTACATAATTGTTAGGGAGAGTCTGCTAAGAGAAAAGAATGCTGGGTGCATTTAATCATTTATCCATTCATTTACTCATTCATTCTTCATGTTCTGTGTGTGTGTGTGTGTATGTGTTCTGAACTGGCCATTGAGACAGCCAGCATCAAACATAGTCCCTTCTGCTGGGACTTTGCTGAATGTCCTTCTGAGCCTTGGTTAGCTTCCTAGGCAGTTGGAGGATTTGATCACAACAAGCATGTCTGTGTGACCTTAGTGTCTGGAGGAGAGCACTCTCTGAATTGTCTAAAGTCTAGAAAAGCCCAGCATTGCTTTTGTCCAGGAGGAAATCGTCTTCTATGTTAAGCACCACAGTGCTGCTGACCCGTGAAGATTTATCTATGCTATCTGGTCTTCCTTCTGATGTCCCCAGAGTGGCCTTCTGAATCTCAAATAAGTGTTCACTCAGGAAAGTCACCAGACCTACTCAATATCATCCCTGTGCTGTATTCTAGGAGGCTGCAGGCAGACGTGGCTCCTGAGTCTCTAGGCAGTGGTAATATGTGAGGTTCACATGGGCAAAGGTAGTTAAGGTATAAGTAAAGAATATCTCCCAAGTCTGGTCAAGGTCTCACAGAAGCACTGCATGGAGGAACTGACCCCAAGACATCACTATCCAACAATTCTGGGGAGAGCAAAATGAACAGCATCTTCCAGTCGGACTCAAAAAACAGCACAAAAAAGAACCACCACCCCAAGCTCCCATAATATAAGATGACACCTCTGGGGTAGGTCTTCAGTGGCCCAGTACCCCTTCTCTTTCACTGGAAGTTCTCAAAGGATTTTGTGAGTGTGGTGCTATTGTTTTATGTCCATTTTCTGCCCTCTTGGAAAAAAATATACCATCCATTTTTCTGTCCCATATAGAACAGTTCTAAGCATGATCTCAGTGTTATAACTCAGGTTACTACATAAAAATCCCTACAAGTAGACATAACAGACTTAATATACTGCTGTAAATAGGCATAGATATGCTTTAATCTAAAAACATGGATATGTGTAACAGTTTATGAGGTATGATCAAAATAGACAATGAATGTATGTTTAAAATTTGTTATCACAATAAATGACACATTGCCATTAATCCTCCTCAAAATCTTTTTCACCACTGCTTCCAACACACTCATCCCATCATTCTTGCCACTTCTGAAGCAGTTCTGGAAGTTCTCTTTCATGAGTATCTTTCGGAGGTTTGATTAAAAAAATATAGTGATTCAGCTGTTGAGTGCCATCCAACTGAGAGGCAGGTTTATAAAAACCTCATACTGGGTCCTCATCTACCATATTTACCAGAAACTTCTGGCTCTTCTCCAAAGTCAATATGACCATGAAAGGTAAATGTTTTGAACTGATCCAGGAATTTGACACAGCTACAGTAGCTCAACCACAGACACTCAGGAAAGAGGACTTCCCGAACTGCTTCAGTGAGGGGCAGGAAAGATGGAATAAGTGTATTCGAAGCAAGGGAGAATATTTGGTTTTGTTTTTTTGGTACCAGGGATTGAACTCATTGTTTTTGCCGCTGAGCTAAATCCCCAGCCCATATTTTAAAATTTATCGTATATTATGATCACACTGCACATTCACTGTGCATCTTCCATACATCATGCATCTATCTACATTTCAGCCTTTATTCCTGAAATTCACAGGGAAAATACTTAGACTGTTTTAATAACACAAATTTTAACTGAAATAAAACTAAAAATTAAACTGTACAAAACACCAATTGTTCCCCTGTGCTCTTAGGCAGAATTTTTCATGCCATTCTCCCAGCATCAAAGTTTAAAACAAAAAAATTCAAAGTGCTGAGAACTTTCCAGCAAGTGGGTAGTAGATAAGATTAACAAGTTCAGGAGAAGACGGAGCTGTGTGTGAATCCAGATTCCTGCCCTGATTACTAGGGAGCACGGAGCAAATTCCCTAACCTCTTGCATTCAAACAGGGCTACTATAGTCTGGTTCATGGGCTGCCCCGTGAGTTTGTAAATTGCCGTGTGCACAGGTCCCATCACCAGTGCCCAGCATGCAGGAAATTTTGGTTCTTTCCCCAGTGGTGGGCTGTTCTTCACAGCTGTGGAAAATGGAGGAAACTTGGCTTCTGCCTCCTGCAGGCCTGTTCTGGAATTCATCAAAGATGCCAAGTTCAATGTAGAGACTCAGTGGGCTGCAAGGCATGGTTAGTCTTGTGGTTTCAGCGCAAAGCCAGAGACTTCCCTTCTTCAAGCCCCCGCCACATGGTGGGAGAGTGGGACAAAAGTGAGAAAAAGGCAGGTACATTCCTACCTCTGCTCTTTGGCATCCACCAGTCGATCCATCAAGTATTTTAGAATTGTAAGCATCTAAAAGCAGAAAGGTATGCATGTCTTGGCAAATTTCACAGCAATATGAGTTCAACTTTTATACAGCTCTGATTCTTTCCTCTTCTCACACCTCTGTGCTTCAGTACTGTGAACAAGCAAGGCTGACTTGGGAGCCCAGGTTTTTAACATTGCTGAATATCTCTGTTCTTTGTGAGCACAGCCATTAGCCAACCGGAAACGTTCTCACTGGGTGACACTGGGAGAAGCTATCCAAAAGTACTTGGAAGTCTACACCTTTCCAAGACCTCCACTCTTCCTTTTTTGGACACAGCAAAAGTCATTTACTTGGTA